TATAATGAGATATAAGAGGGAAGTGATTGAGTTTGTGAGGTAATGCATAGATAGTGCAGTAATATATTGCATAGTGACATCATGCACATGCTTTTTTTCTCTTTCTGTACGATAATATCAGCATCAGGCGTTATCTATGGGGCATGAATCATTCTTTTGTCGCGGAAAATTGAGAAACTGCTGAATAAGCTGTGTATTAGAAGAACACATTCATCAAAAGATTTTAATTTTTTCAATGAAAATTTTCTTCATGTACGATTTTTCTGAGAAATATTCTTCTGGTATATGCATGTTTTTCTGAGTTTTTGAAATCAGCACGCGTTCCATAATAAAATTTACAGACAACGTGTGTATCAAGGAGTAAATTAAGATCATTGTATTAACTTAGACGAATTGCCACATTTTAGTCATAGATATGCATTCGCCTGCACTACTCAATTTTGTCTATGAATATATGAGGCTAAAGAGGCATAGAGTCTAATCGCAGATTATTTCAGAACAAATTCGAACTCTTTACTTCATGCTTCCTTTGACAGAATCCTGACTTTAAAACAAATTCTATGAATATTTCACAAAATGTGCCATATCTTTATTAATATATGAACGGATAATCTGATATGTGAATACAATTTTCGTAAAACTCAACTTCAAAAGTCTTTTCCTAACAGTCATTCTTTGCTAAACAATTGTAAAGTTTTTTCTGTAGTTTTTAATGAAAGACTTTTCTAATGAATATCCTTGTATTGAAATGCATTCGAAGAAAGCTGCGAACAATGAAAGAAAAAAAACCATGAAAGTGATATTCCATCTGCAAAGAGAAACTAATTTTAATCCAATAATTCTTTCTGATCATGAGAGAGTGATTAATATGTATAGAAAATATCCACTAGTAACGTCGTGAGACCATTTCACAGAAAGGGGAAAAAAAGCATGTGCATGATGTCACTATGCAATATATTACTGCACTATCTATGCATTACCTCACAAACTCAATCACTTCCCTCTTATATCTCATTATAAAACAGGCAACTTTTCATCAGTAGATTCATTTCAAATCATACAGTTCCTATCACAAAACAACATTTCTCATCTTCAAATACAGATCAAATGAATAGTCAACGACTTTTACTCTTTATCTTGGTAAGAATAGCAAGAAAATAGATTCAAAAAAAAAATATGTGTCTACTTACTCTCTTTCTCTTTTCATTTTCAGGCTTTCTCACTTACCTGTTACTCTGTTATGGCTGTAACGAACATACAATGTGAGCTAGAGACAACAACCAATGGCAAAGGTCATTTCACATTCACTGGTACTGTTGGACCGAATGACTCTAAAGTATGCACCAGAATAGCACCTGGTCGAATCACTACACATCAATGGATAAAAGGTGGTGGTTGTAAGAATGGTGGTGAATTAATAGTCAATGATAATATAATCCGATTCAAATGTGCATGTACAAAGTGGATGAAAGATTGTAATATTGATCACACATTAGTATTTGATTATGTTGTCTAAATCGACTCTCGATGTCATACATCCTTAAGCAGAACAGTGACTATTACTAATCAAGAACTGCTTTGTTTTGTATCTATTTTTGTTCAATATGAAGACTTCTTATATAAATAAATGGAAATGAAGGCGATAAGTCTTTATCATGATGAATGTTGAAGAAGAATGAGAATTTACTGACTAAGACTGAATTCGTATTTGTGATCAAACCTTTAGTCCAGATTTCTTATTAAACTGGTCATTCACTGCGTACTTTAGTTAGAGTCCATGTAGTGATCTAAATAAGTCTTTTCAAGGATCATAAAACACAGACCATTCATCAATTATTTATTTACTGAATTCCTAGTTGGTTATCTATGCTGAGTAAGAGTGAATATGAATCTTGATTTTCACGACGAAGTAAGCATTCGTAAGAGTGACAATTAATATATCATATGAAACGCAGAAAAATCTACTTACATTTGTATAACTCGAGCGCAGCTTCTAATGTTCTCAAATAGAGTCACTGTTCCTAATTGAAACATCACATGGAGAAGCGATGAGAATTTCAGAAACGTCACTCGACGTTACTACCCGACCTTGGAAATCTTTAGATGTTTCTGTAGTACACTAATTCTTAGTGGGAATGTTAGCTGAATATTGATGTGAAAAAAAATTTCGTGTTAAGCTAAAATGCACAAGTGTATGTCATAGAGTTTTGCGAACGAATGACAAAAGAAAGAGGGAGCAGTGGGGTGGGGTGTGAGTGTGGGTATTGGTGTATGGATGTAGATGTGCGTGTGGCTGAATGAAGAGGAGGGTCATACCCAAACCTACACCGCACTCGACAAGAAAAGAAAGTTTGATTCTACACTAAATCTCTTCGCAACTGAATTCTATCAAAAAAATACATATAAGAAGACAACTGACAACACGTTAGCACTAAAAAAATCAAATATACACAGAAACTCAACTCTACTATTACAATTCTTCAGCAGTTAATACGAAAAACAAATATCAAAATATCATTTCAGAAAATAATAGCCACTTTAATTTCTTTCAGATGAATACCAACTCCAACAGCATCATGAACAAATGGCTTATCACAGCAAATGAATGAATGCTAGAGCAAAACCCAAAGAACTCCAACAACCCAAAATCAAAGCAAGTAAAGCTTCATAACACACAAATATTAACCCTTTTTTCATGCTTTAGGCGAACAAACCTCTCAACAATGACATCGATATGCTACTGACTCATCCTCTATTACATTAAAAACATCCAAGTAAAGGCTAAAATCTCAATGCATATATTAAAGTAGCTAAAGTGCATTGAATTACATTTTTCTCTATTTAGACATAGGAGGTGTTCAATCTATATCTATAAATAATGTATTTCTACAATTATTTCAATTATTGATGACTTATAGAAAGGTTTAGGTGGTATTATAGGTGATACAGATTCAGGGTGTGGATGTGTATGGCATGTCGGTCTTCATTTCTTTCACCACCCACACCCACACCCACACCCGTGATCGCCTTAATCATGCATAAGAGCGTCGTATAAACATAGTGTTATTATGATTGATATATATTTGAATGTTTTTGTAAATCAAGATAAAAATTCAATTTAAAACATTGTCTTGTTAAATTGGCTGCTGCATTAATAAAGAGTGTTCTATTTGCATGTTGATCATATTTATAACCATTATCATCATGAAAATATCCAAAACAAAGAATTCGAGGCTGAATTCTTTGACGAATTTCTTTTATTAAACTCTTTGAACCCCAATGTCCATAGGAACCATGAACTGTATTATTACATATAGAACAAGGTTCTGTTGAAGCAACTTTTTTTGGTTGAAATGCTAAATCTAATATAAATTTTGGAGGAATACGTGTCATTAATATATCAATATCTGAAGGAATTGATGACCATTTTGTTCAATAATGTTCATTAAAAGGCTATGATGAACCATAAATTGTTATACCTTCGACTTGAATTAAATCATCTTTTATATATGTAGAATTCGTTAATAGTTTGATTGAATTTCTTCTTTTGAAAATTTTTCAAAACCAATTTCATGATTTCCACAAATAACAATTTCATGTTTATGTGTTAGGATGTGGGTGTGGGTGTGGGTGTGGGTGTGGGTATGGGTGTGGGTGTGGGTATTAGTATGGGTGTGGATGTGGGTGTGGGTGAGGACGCGTGACTGCGGGTATAATTCTTTTCTTTAATGACATTAACACACCTACACCTACCCACACCCACACCCTCATACACCCACACACCCACACCCACACACCCACACACCCACACACCCACACCCACACCCACACCCTCACACACCCACACCCACACCCTCACACACCTTCACACACCCACACCCACATCCACATTGAGTTGCCAAAATCGAAATATTAAAAAGAAGACTAAAAAAAATTAAACTTTATTTCTGATATCTAAACAATATTTAATCTAATTTAAATTATTCAATTAAAATTGCATAACGATCCATGGGTTATCGAATTAAAATGAGATTGTAACAACAAAAGATACACAAATGAGAAACAAAATTTAACATCATTAAATGACGTAAATAACAAAATAGAAATAGCTCATAGCATAGTATAAAATCGTCATAGATGTTTATTTGGCATTGATACTGCTTGTCGATTAGCAACAGGCGAATACAACAGTCTATTGCTTCATTAATCAATAAAGTTTCTAAATATACTCATTATTGTGTAGGTTCAGACGCAATTTCCAATAAAACAAAAAGAAAGCAAAAGAAAAGTAAAACAACAGCAATAGTTGTTTCTGATAGAGCAAGATGTGAATAAAAACCTATATATGATTCGTCAATCTGATTTATAAATACCACTGTTGTAATAAAAAGAAAAATTACGGACTGTTATCATTGTGTTATCAAATATATAGCTTATGTTTATGAACTGTTTATTTATTATATTTTATCTGAAAAATTTCCCTACAGCAACAAAACGCTACACATTATTTGCCTATGATACACATTAATTATTTTTCGTTCATACGATAATAATCACTATATTATTCATATTCAATGTTATTGAACTATTGTATAGATTATCAATAATATATTGAAATTAATATTATTTTTAAAAAAATGACTTCCTAACTAACAAATACAACAAATAATTGTAATAACTAACAATATGATTTAAAACCATCGAGATTGATTCATCTGAACTGAATTATTCAACATATATAATTGATGAATGAATTAAAGAAACTATTAAACCTATTAAAACTATAAGACAAATGAAAATAAAAAAGATAGCAAATACCAAAAAGCTATTAGCACTAAAATATTATTCTTCGACTCTAATAATCTCTAAACAGCAGATACGAACTTAGTTCAAGCAAAAAGCCAAAGTATGAAGTGATGTGTCGCGCAAAGAAATAAAACTTGAATTAAAAAATTCATATAAATGTAGATTAAATTTGAATAAAGCATTTTCATTGACAATGAAAATTAGTTTGAGAAAATGATGATTCAAATAATTGATTTGTTCCACCACTATGAAATCGAAAAAATGTCATGATAAGATTCATGCACGACTGCTTTTCAAACTGAGTCAGAGCACCTACATTAATACAGAAAACCATAAAAAAAAGGAATTTAAATAGAGCAATGCACCTGAACAAAACAATTTGAATTCGCCGAACAATATTTTCATATTTTCTAATAAGAATTTTTGTGTAAAAAATATAATTATACAAAATGAATTTTTTTTCGTTTTATTCAATTTTTAAATCAAAGTATACAAATATTTTTATATACTGAAGAGAAAAAAATATTAAATCAATTAAAGGTAAAGTTTCCTATAGAAAAGAAACACAAGGTATATTTTGATCATATGCATGTTATTGCTATGCGCACATTTTCATATATTTTTTTTGCGTATTTTGTATCGTGTCTGTATGTAGAGCACATGACATAATAAGTAATACAATGGTAAAATTTATTTCATCATAATATGAAAGATATACCAATGATTTTATTGAATATTTTGAGTTTTACCTATAAATATCTTTATCGAAATTCTAAATAACTAAATTTCAATAAATTTTCATTAATTATATGAAAAGAAATTATGTATAGCATATAGATTATCTCAAGAAGAAAATTTCGATGATCGAAAAGTTATATCAGTATTTTATTTTTTTCAAATAATTATCATATCAATATTATGATTAATTAAAAACCTCTTTTTTTCTATGTTAGTTTTATTTTTGAAAAAACAAAATATGAACAAGAATAAAAGTATTCATTAAATTAATATATCATCTAAAGATTGATAAAATGAAAGCATACATCCTGAAGAAATGCGATAAATAATACAATAAAAATTCATTAGAAAAAATAAATGTATTATTAATGAATATGATGACCAAAATAAAAAATCATATTCGAATGCCGATTTAAATGATAAGGATATCTAATCATTGAAATTACAACATTAGAAAAATTTTGAGTAAATACACGAACGAAATATAACACATAAAAACACTCATCATAAGTACAAAATCAATAAATATTATTGATATAAGATTATTTAAATATAATTTGGTTAATCAGAATGTGAAAAATAAGTTTTTATCAATTAAAAATCTTTCAAGATTAAAAGAATAACCTAAAGTACATTAACAATATTACTGAATCAGGTTAACTTCAATATAAATGATGTAATATTCTCATCTGCATCAAATGTTGTAGATATCATAAATAAAATTAGATTTAGTTATGAATATCAACAAAATAATACTATTAACATCTGATCAAATTAATAGTAGTAAAATCATCGTATTCTAAACAATCCAGCAAACAAATAATAATAATAATATTAATAATACATTGTACAGGGTTGGAAATAATATTATTCCAGGGGGGCAACGCTACAATGCTGAATACCAACCCTAATGAATTTTATACCAAATGAAAGCCCGTAAAAAATGGGGTTTTCTGATGCCAAATTGTAAGGGTTCTAACATATTTTTTTCTAACAAACTTTCAAAAGTTTCGAAATTTCGTAGAACACACCCGTTATAATTTACTTTCGAAGCACGGTAGAGCAAAGAAAAACAGAAATTTTCTGTAAGAAAATCAAANTTCAAAGCAAATGCAATTACATTATTACTATATGATATAAAAAGCAAATAGTAATAGTTAAATCTATTGGGAATGTGGGATTATTAAGGAGAATAGATTGTAAAATATGAGATACTTACTTGTTTTGTATTGAAGACAGACCTTTTTATATCTATAGTCATTATCAGATATGTGTAGGCATTGCGATTGTGACACTGTCTTAATGATTTGGCATGAGGGTGTGGGTGTGGACGAATGTGAGTATTGAGTACGGAAATAGTCTTTCTACTGATACACAACCCATACCGATATCCACACCCACACGCACACCCCACACTCATCCACACACAGACACTCTAATTATGCCGAGTAATTTTTAATGATGATCGACTCTGATTTCGTGGAGTTTTGTGTGTTAGGGAACTCTTTTTTTTTTGTTGAATTGTTTGTTTTTCATTTTTGCCTCATAACAACGTTTTACGCTGGATTTCTGTTAGGTTTTGCTTTTTTATGTTATTTTTTCAGTTCCTATCAACTGCATACTCTATCAGAAAAAACTTCACATAAGAACAATAAAATATTCAAGGTAACGAATACGAAACGATTGATGTTAAACAAAAAAAATTGATATTTCAAATAAGAAACTCAGTTTGTAGAGGACACAAGCACCTATTTTCGTTATCGTGTGATACATTGGGATCACTAGCATTTAAATAGAAATTATGTTTAAATGGGATAGTGTCTATTAGTTATCTATGAGAAAATTTGATTCAAGTACCCTAACAGAGCATGGTTCCTTTATTATTGTCTTCGCGACTTATTTCATTCCTAACTAAATGCTATTCACGTCATCATAAACATCGGATAACTTTCTTTGTAAGCTTATAAAAGACTGATAATTTTCAATAGATTGTTATTTTACAAATTGAATGCATATTTTATAAAACGCGTTGCGTTTATCATATTTCTTCATTAAATAGGGATGCGTGTGGCTGTTGGAATGGGTGTGTGCACGGGCGTGGCTGAGTTTGGGTGGAGACGTTCATGGTGATTTGACTCAAACCCATATCGATACGCACACCCACACCCTTTAAGGAAAAAGCCAAAGTATGAAGTGATGTGTCGCGTATAGAAATAAAACTTGAATTAAAAAATTCATATAAATGTAGATTAAATTTGAATAAAGCATATTCATTGACAATGAAAATTAGTTTGAGAAAAGGCTGATTCAAATAATTGATTTTTTTCCGCCACTATGAAATCGGAAGAATGTCATGATAAGATTGAGTCAAAGCATCTACATTAATACAGAAAACCATAAAAAAAAAGAAATTTAAATAAAGCAATGCATCTGAACAAAACAGTTTGAATCGCCGAACAATATTTTTATATTTTCTAATCAAAATTCTTGTGTAAAAAATATAATTATATAAAATGAATTTTCCTTCGTTTTATTCAATTTTTAAATCAAAGTATACAAATATTTATATATACTGAAGAGAAAAACAAATTAAATCAATTAAAGGTTAAGTTTCCTATAGAAAAGAAAAACAATGTATATTTTGATCATATGCATGTTATTGCTATGCGTACATTTTCATATATTTTTTTTGCGTATTTTGTATCGTGTTTGTATGTAGAGCACATGACATAATAAGTAATACAGTGGTAAAATTTATTTCATCTTAATATGAAAGATATATCAATGATTTTATTGAATATTTTGAGTTTTACCTATAAATATCTTTATCAAAATTCTAAATAACTAAA